CTGGCAACACCGGATTCTCTCCATTTCAACCTATGTTAAATGGTCGATTCTTGTCGGAGCACCTGGCCCTTCCAAAAATCGAAACATTTCCATAGGTTTAAATGGCGAAAAGACAACACTGGGAAAAAAAACATTGGATCTAGAGTCCAGACTCTTAAAAACATCGTCAAGAAAAAATACTCTTGATTCTATCAAAAAGCTTAAATCAAGAACCAAGCCTCTTAATCGGAGCGGAATTCCTTTTGATTTAAGCTTAAATGTGATTGAATTAATCAAGAGTCCTTTTTCTTATCAATGTTTTCAAGAGTCTGGACTGTAGATCCAATGTGTTTTTTTTTTTCCAGTGAAGGTTGTCGATTTGCTGGATCCGCCAATGAGCTAGAGAAAAAATAAAAATTTCTTCTCATAAAAAATGGCTCAAAAACACGATGAGCGCAACGGGAAATTCTGGAAAACTCCCCTAACTTCACAACCTACCTTGAAAGTCCCTAAGTAGAAAAATATTCTGATATTGACATTGATGATAGTTTTAAAATCTAGAATGCTCTCGCGCTTACGCCTGGGTAACTGAAAGCGCGAGTGAGAAATCATGTTCGCCTTCAACTTGATGGATACAATTTGAGCGGCTCAGAAGTTGATATAGTTGTATCACGCATTTTAGTTTAGCTTGATGTCCAAAGCACGAGTTTCTTTCGTTGTGATCTTCGTTTGTCAAACGCCCATCGTAGCGAAATGTCTAGTAACTTTCACTTAATTCTCTTCGCAGAAAAATAATTCGATATTGACATTGAGATAAGTTGCCAAAGTTACAATTTAATCCTGCTTTCGCGCTAATGTCTGATCAACTGAAAACGCGAGTGAGAAATCAAGTTCGCCTTCAACTTGATGGATACAATTTGAGCGGCTCTGAAGTTGATATAGTTGTATCACGCATTTTAGTTTAGCTTGATGTCCAAAAGACGAGTGACTTTTGTTGTGATCTTCGTTTATCGAACGCCCATCGCAGCGAAAGTGTGTAGGCACCGAAGAAGAAATTAAGCGCGCTCTGCCCTACCACTGTCTCATCCTCGATGACAGAAGAAGTAGATGATCGGAAAAAAGGATACTGCGGCGGAAGTATCAGAAGGTGCGCGTAATCTGCTCTTCAGTGCAGAAAGAATGTTTCCACGGCGGGTCTCAATCGGATTTGAGCGGTTCTCGATTAGCAGGGCCGTAATGAGGAGGGGTCCATTGCGGGCGGGATGCTGGAGGACCTCAGAGAGATACCGATGAAGCATCCTTTGGGGGGGAGGGGGGGGCGTTACAAGGGGGGCTCTGAATGAGCATCCAATTCATTCATCGAGCGTCCACGCGAAACCCGCGCTTTTCCTTTGTTTTTGCGGACCGCTTCATTCAGAGATTCTTCGGCCCGAAACGAGCTGCTCTTTTCTAACTGGCGACGAGGAGTGATGGGCCCAACCGCTGCCGGTCGCTCACATACCACACGAAAAATCAAAGTAGAAAATTCCGAATCCATACCTTGTTTCGCTTCTGTGAGTCGAATAGTAAGGCGTTAAGAAAGACCATGGTGTCTAGTTTTTTAAAAACCGGGGAAAACCGGGATTCATCAGGGAATGAAAATTTACCGGGAAAATCAGGGAATCTGTTCCAGAAATCGGGAATCTCTTCTCCAACCGCCCAGGGATCATTTCGTTTTCAAAGTTGGTGGTCTAATCTGACGTGCACCATAGAAATGGCTGTAAGATGAATTAAAATCGATATGCATATCTAAAACTCTGGAAAATTACATTCTTTTCCCCAAGAAAATCAGGGAATGAGCTTTGCGAAGAAAACTAGACACCATGGTTCAGACGCATTAACCTCGCGGTTTATTTTATTGCACTTGAGCCACCGGTATTGACCTCTTGAATGACACATTAATTTGAGTCTTCAAATCATCCTACTGATAGAGAAGTTTTCAGTGACTAAATGATATAAACATCAGGAACGCTTTCAGAGTATAAAATTTGAGTGTGCGCCAAAGAATCGGCCGGAAGATGAAAGAAATTCGATCTTCATATCCGGAACTTCGCTGAATTATATATAGTTTTCCCAAGAAAATCCCGGAGAGATGTGAGAAAACTTCGGTTTCTCATAATAGAATGAGCTTCAGAAAATCAGGGAAAAATCAGTGAATGAGCATGGTCAAGAGTAAAATAAACTTCCGGTCAGGGGGTCCCTACTATATGTACCATCAAGTGACACGATCACCTAGTTACCCTCTATTTCAGGAGGAGTATCCTGGCAATCGTGAAAAGGGGGGGGGGAGTTTAATGGATTCCATTTTTCAAAAAAGGACCAAGAGCATTCCAATGTCTCTAAGATGGTGCGACATTTTCAAGCTTGCAAATATATACTGACCATCTAAACACCTCAAATCATTACTTCCAATAAACTTCTTTTTTTTCTTTCTTTTTTTTTTAATCTTATGCATTAATTCAAATGTGTACGCTCATTCCTACTTGGGTCAATTACAATATTTTTCACAGTTAGAATAATATTAGTGCTTAACCTAAAGGTTGAAGACTATATAACCAATAAACTATAAATTCAAGATGAAAAGTACCCTGGTAATTTTGATTTTTTGCATGATTTCAGTAATGGAGATGTTGCATGTGTGAGGAATTTGCGATTTGACTGTTGATTCTTATGTAAAAGTTCGCAAGAAACACGACGGTGCCACTGGTTTTCTCTAAAATCAACTCCCAAGCTCAAAAAAAGCTCTCAAGTTGAGGCCAAAGTGAAGGGGATATCTCACGCTATCCTGAAAGTCCACATCTACATCAAGACAAACTCTCCATGCAAAGATAGGGAGCAAATACATTGACAGGGGTGCCACTTTCTTTGGGGACTCCAAAACTGAAAGCACGGTAACCCTGCTAATGTATTTGCTCCCTATCTTTGCATGGAGAGTTTGTCTTGATGTAGAGGTGGACTCTCAGGATAGCGTGGGATATCCCCTCCATTTTGGCCTCAACTTAGAGCTTTTTTGAGCTTGGGAGTTGATTTCAGAGAAAACCAGTGGCACCATCGTGGTTTTCCCGAATTTTTACATAAGAATCAACAGTCAAATCGCAAATTCCTCACACATGCAACATCTCCACTGCAGAGAAGGTTATGCATATGAGCTTCTTTTGAGCTTGGGAGTTGACTTCAGAGAAAACCAGTGGCACCATCGTGTTTCTCGCGAACTTTTACATATGAATCAGTAGTCAAATCGCAAATTACTAACACATTCAACATCTCCATTTGACTGCAAATAACATAAGTTGCAGAATCCTAGCAACATTGGAATGCTCTTGGCTCCTTTTTGTAAAAAGTAATGCGAATCATGGGCGCGACGTTATTAGGAGGGACGAGAGGTCGCGGATGGGAACTCGCGAATCCGCGACGACGACCGGGGCGGCTTCGGGGAAGGGTGGGGGAAGATGAAAAGAGCCGCCCGCTCCTAAATTTCGAGGGGCAGTTTCGAGGACGAAAACAGGTTGTTACTATCAGTTTATCGTGTGCGGCCCATTCGTCATTCGTCGGGGGCAGGTGAGCCCGGCTGCCGAAAAGGGGCCGACTTTTGAATGACACAAGACGAGAATAAAATTAGGCGCCGCGCGCTCTCCGCCCGAGCTAATAAAACAGGAGTGACAGCCCCCCACCCCCCACCCCCCGGCCCTGTGTCCGGTCCCGCCGTCCGCGGACCCGAGTTATTCGGCCCAGGTTCCGCGTTTCATTTTGTCGGCAGTGACGATTTTGCAAGTTGGCAACTTTGTTTTTCTTCCGTTTAAATCCATTGAAAATATCGATAATGGGCGAGGAAAGCTTCCTCGCCAAGGATAGATTGTTTTCCATGCATTTAAATGTGCATTAAATACATGTCCGGTCCCAGGATCCGAGACATCTGGCCCAGGTACCGCGTTTCCTCCCGTCGGCATTGACGATTTTGCAAGTTGACAATACTGATTTTCCTCCGTTTACATCCATTAAAAATATCGTTTTTAGGTGAAGAACCATGCCTCACCAAGAATCGATTGTTTTACATACGTTTACATAGAGGTAAAACAGCATTGTCAACTTACAAGAATCGCCACTGCTCGGTCATTCGTGAGCCGAAATTCAGACCGCGTAACCTAAGCTTTGTCCCCGCTTAAAGCAATCATTAAAGCCGCGTAACAAACGTTGTAAAATAAAACAATGGGCGTGTTGTAAACGTGAAGTAGAGTGAATACAAGATTTTTTCTTATTGAAACTGGCTCAAAAATCACGATGCACGCATCGAGAAAGCCTCAAATACACTGTTAACTTCGCAATCTGCGCAAGAAATGTGCTTTTTTTAAGCTTCCCGCCTCGAAAACGTTACTACGGCACAGGTGAACTTTTCGTTAGAAGCGTCGTTCCATCCAACCCTTCCGCACTAGGATTCTACGCAATATTCAACGTGACCTACGTCAAGCTGCCAAAACGCGAGTGACGAATCGGGATTTCATCAACCCGCGTGTTTATATATCCACATTCTCCTTACATGAAGACCATGGTGTTTCCTAACGATTTGCGTGCGGAAACAAGTTGCGATGCTGAATACTGTGCAGCACCCCAGCACGCAAGGGTTGGATGGAACGACTCCTCTTTCGAAATTTTCACCTGTGTCGTAGTATCGTTCTTGAAGCGGGAAGCTGTAAAAAAACGTTTTCTAGGAAGCTTGTGAAGTTCGAAGGGTATTTTAGTCCCTCCCGTTGCGCTCATCGTGATTTCGAGCCATTTTGCCTAAGCAAAAACTCATACTCTGGCTGAAAATTGCTACGGTGTTGCAAACATTGAAGTTTCTTCGGTTCCGTTTACGGTTCTTGCCCCTGCTTGCATGTTGCTCTTACTTTAGTGATCGTTTCAAGTAATACAATTATTCGTGGTATTAAGGAAAAGCTTGAAATTTTTTCCGCATTTTGATTTGAAATCTTTTTGGTATGTTACAGGCACCGAGCTGATGAAAAGTTTTTAACGGGCGTCCGAAGTTTCCTCGTGAGCTTAGTTTAATTTTCAACCGTCTTTCGTAATTTTACGCACCTCTCGAACGGGGCAAATTCCACACGCGCCAGCTTCCAATTTCCTGGACCGTAACTCAATTTTTTAAATTTGATTTTTGCCTTAATTTTTTATAACGTTGTTATTATTAATACGCACTATTTTCGATTACTTAGAAATTAATTTATTCATACGGTAGTGTAATTGCTCGTTTTGTACATTTCTCGCAAACAACAAAGCAGATCTCCTTTACCCAAGGATTTGTAGTTTATATTTTACTATGTAGTATATAGCACGGGCCACCGAATGAAGCTATTTGCCGTGTTGCCAGGTGAGATCTTGGGTAAAATGTAATTTTTTTATACCTCCAGTCTAGAGAGGACTGTCGAAATATTATTTTTTGTTCTTTTTATTTCTTCTGATTTATTCCAGACTTTTAAGTCCGATAGTTCCTCTTTGAATGGCAAAATTTGGCGAAACCCGTCTTGCATGCATGATTCGTCGTTCCCTAAGCGAAAGAACTTTTTTTTTTACTTTGACGAATTTTAGCCGGAATCAGCACAACTCAATTTTAAGTCGCCAAATTTTGTGTAATGTTTAAGTTTTTCGACAGAGAACACAATCCATACTTATTGCCTTTACTGCCTTTGCCTACTATTTTCCGTACTTATTGCCTTACCTCTTACTATGAGCAATATTCTAACAAATCGAGTTTCAGTGTTACTTGGTCCTCTTTTAAAAGAATAGAACTTTAGAACAGAGTAGGCAACGTCTGATCTAGAAAGGCTGATTCCGGTTCAATTCGTTGTTATAGACGTTGCACGTTGCAAAATTTCCAGTGGCAAACTGTATTTTTACCAATTAACTGTTTGGCATTTTTCGCTGAAATTTCAACTAATATACCCCTCGAAAACACGCAAGACATACAACGCACAGTCATTTTCTTGCAGACAAATTAATTTTTTGAGTCAATTTTGCCCCATGAAATGGCGTTACATTCCTTCATCTAGGAAGCGACGAATTCTGCACTTTATGATTCGAGCACGCAGGTGTAGTTTTAGAAATCGTAAACATTTGATTGAAATATTTCTGCAGGGTCGTCGTATTTACAGCCAGAAAAATGGAAAAGTAAACACTGAAACTAACTTTCGCTCGAAAGTTTGATCTAGTTCCAAGTCCGAATTCTCCATTAACATTGATTTTTATCATTATTTTCCTTTTTTTTTTCTTGGAATATAATTTCTAAGCTCTCAGAAGCTACTGTACTAAGGTGCAGAGTGTAGGCCACTCAAAGTTAATCAGGTAGAAACAAAATGGTGTTGTAAGCGGTCAAAAAATGTCGTTTCCTACATGGTGATTCAATATAACAAGGATTCAATGGTGTTTTAATGAAGGTCTATAATTCTTCACCGTCAATTTTGATTGTAAATTGCTATTTTAAGTCGCTCCATCTGTCAATTTCCGTTCCGTTATGTAAACATCACTCTGTAAATGTACATTGTCAGTTCGAATAATTAATTGAATGCCATGCACTTGTCGAATACGAACTTCCGAGCTCTGAATCACCGTGCAACCTTGCAAGCTCGGATCAGCTCAAGTTTCCCTTGTTTTATTCTACGTACCTGTTAGTTAATTTTATTATACAAAGACTTCGCAGTTCGTAGATTTTATACCTGATTCGCTTTAGAATCTTACGATGAAGAGAAGAGTCTAACCATACTTTCTCATGTATTAGTCCAATTTGCCGGATGAATTTCCATGTATGCATGTTTTTCCACGCATTTTTGTCGAGTCAAGTCCAGCGTATCTACAGCGGTCTCATTGTTGAAATCGATGGACGAAATTGTAGACAAAGAAGACAAAAGGGATATAGAGGGATTAGGCGTATTAGTGGAAGCTGGTGGTTGCAATGGACAAAGGAGGTAGGTAATAGACTAACTAACGACCTCCCACTGAGATCTTAAAGTTAGTCCATCATTTAGCCCCTTAGTGTATAAGAACCACCCATTTCAACCAGTATGATCGTTCCATACTCCCTATGTCTTCTTTGTCTATTACTTCTTCCATCAATTTCAACAACCAGCCCGCAGGCCTCGACTTATGAGCTACGAGCAAATATTTGATTGGAAAAGTCTCGGAATTTAGTTTTTTTAATGAATGAAACACTGCATCTGTAGATACTTAGGTTCCGTAGGTTAGCCTTTAGTCCGATAATTTTATTTTGGTTCTTTCGCCTGTGCGCCTTAATTTTTTACCCAAAACGTGCTGATGTAAAATCGGAGCTCTCTTAGTATCCTTAGTGCCTCGGATTGTGCTGCAATATCGTTTTTGCTCCTGACAAAAACCGACTTTTTGGCGCTTTCGTCTTCAGTTTGTGGTACTGAAGACCCTTTGTTATTGAGGGCGATAGACTAGCTGACATCGTCTGTGTGATTATGCAAACCCGTGTCGATTTATTGAGTTTCATACCTTCATGTTTCAATGCCCTTTTTTATACCTCCTCATCTAAAAATTACCTAATATATTTATTTATCTTCAGATTTCATGTCTATTTTGTACTTTTTTCTCGCAACATTTAAACCCTAAGAAATCTGTACGTTTATTGAACATATTGATTTATAAGGCAATTTTACGTCAAGCAATGTAGATTAGCTTCGTTGCTGGAGCGTGTTCTCCGCGTCAAAATGAGTCCTTTTTCATCTAGAAATTTACCCCAATAGTATTCTTAGTAGAAGGTACTGCCTGTACTTTTTGTAGGCAAATCGGCGACAATTATGAACCAAACTTCATGAAATATGGCGATTTCCTTCTAATTAATTTTTACCCCTCAATTGGACTACATTTTGCAATTTGGAACTATGAATTCTAGCCCGGTTTAAAAACAACATATGTGCCATTAGTTTCCCTATGCACTTAAGTGTTTTTCCAGAAGAGCCAGAATTTATAGCTCCAAATTGCAAAATGCAGTCCAATTCATCCACAGCCTTAAGAATATCGAAATCTCAAGTTAAGGCGGTGTTGAAGGGTAGAGGAGAAACCAAGTTTTTTTTTTTTTTTTTTTTTTTTTTTTTTTTATCCTACAAGACCCAACTCATTGAAATCGACCTTTAACTTGAAATTACGATTTTTTTGAAGGCCATGGATGAAATCCAATAGTCCGATTGTGAGTAATACTCGCTCTTCGCACAATTGTTCGATCCGGAAACGGGGAAAATATCTGCCCACCGCGCGGAGGTAGGTCGGTGGAGTCCAGTCTCGACCAGGGATGTCATAATTCTGTCAAAGAAAGATGGATAGCGGAGTAGGGTAAACAATGGCCAACCGACGAATCGTGTGCCGCTTCATCTTCCTGTTGTCAAACATCATGTGATAAATGCAATTATTCATAATAAATATATCACAAAAATAATAATTCAAATATGCATAACTTTCTTCAAAAATATATGGACGGTGAAACTACCTGACTACGAATTTCGGTTTGCGACACGGTAGACTTCCGATCATACTTCATTCTTTAAATGAAAAACTACACAACGTCAATCATTGAAATCTTCCGTGTTTTTCCTTCTCTGTGCGAAGGAAACTCTTTGAAAATTTAAAGAAATTATATTGATTTGCTGTTCTTCCAAAAAAATGGGAGCGAAGATTTTTTAACACCACAAACGAGATACGTGGTCTGGTAGTCACCGTCAATATGCTTTATACGGAGAAATTTGGCAACTCTGGAATGTTCATACGGCGTTCTTCCTCAGCACGGCAGTATGTTAGGTACTCTAAGCCGGGCTATGGGAAAAAATTGGCCTTTATACTGCCGTGTTAAGCAAGAACGCCATAAATCCATCAAGATTTTCCCTCGTTTTTTGGAACTGAACACCGTATAACATAAAGACTGTTTTACCCATGCACCTCAAATTTTCAAGTTAAGTTCTTGATAGTATTTCCGAAAGAATCCTGTAAAAACATTGTCCTAAGGTACACAAGTCTTTCTGCTACGATGCGTTGTTTCCAAAAATTTAAAATGGCGTTTACGGCGTTTTTGCGTTGCATGGCAGTATACTGCCGTGCTAGAGGAACGCCGTATGAACATTCGATAGTTGCCAAATTCCCCTTGATAAAACATGCATTTTTACAACATTCATGCATATTTTCCCTTGAAATTTTCAAATATTTTAGATTAAACTATGTACAAAATTGTCTGACAATTTTGGAAAATGATATTTCCAATGTTCCCTGTCAATTCGATTTTTATCGGAGGAAACATGGCAGCTTCTTAAGGCTCTTACGGCGTTTTTCCTTAGCACGGCAGTATAATAGACGGATTTCCTCGAAAGCCGAAGGGATGTGGCAATGACGTGGCGGGTCGGCTGTTGGTAATTATCGCGGGAGGCCGCGGAACGGAGGGCCGAGAGCGGGTTGGTCGGTGGACGGTGGATGGTGGTGGTGGATGGTGGATCTGGTCCGAGTCCGAAGGCCGCGCCCGGTCCCCGTCCGCGGTGCCCCCGAACCCCCGTTGATTGATGTCTGCCAAAACCTTTCCTCAGTCTCGTCCTCCCGCCAGCCGCCCGCTCCCGCGTTGTCGCTTCCGTCCTGTATGTCGCTCCTCCAACCCCCTTCCTACCAGCAGAGATGGGAAATTGCATGCAATTTATTCGCGTGATATTTCACGTAATTTTGTGAAACTTTGGGGGATGCGTTTTAGGGAGGAGACCAAAAAACGCCTAGAAACTTGTGATTCTCCATTTTGAAATTTTTCACCCCATGCCTAAAATATGCACTCACTAGAAAAAAAACACATAGGATATAGAGTCCAGACTCTTGAAAACATTGACAAGAAAAAGGACTCATGATTCAATCAGATTTAAGCTTAAATCAAAAAGAAATCCGCTCAAATTAAGAGGTTTGGTTCTTGATTTAAGCTTAAATCTGATTGAATCAAGAGTATTTTTTCTTGTCGATGTTTTAAGAGTCTGGACTCTAGATCCAATGTGTTTTTTTTCCAGTGTGCTACAAATGTTTTCGTTTGGTTCAGAGGTTCGGTTGCGGCTTTTCTCTTTAGCTCCCCTTTGTGCTCCCCTTCGTGTATAGCATGTCTAACCCCACTTATTATAACCCTTCCAATAGAGAACTCAGGTTTGCCGACGCGACGGTCTGAAAAGCCGGGGATATCAGGGAATTTGCGACGACCGAGAAAATTCAGGGAATTCGTCAAAAAAGTCAGGAAATTTTTGACGCATCCACTAATCAATATAACAAATCACTGATCCTCACTGTTCCTGGTCATTTTTCAAGCTCTTCATCTTTCAACGAGCTACTGAATGCCCCTTTCATAATTTTATCCTTAAAGAAAGAAATATGTCTAACGTTTAGCGAAAGTCATCGTATTTTTAATCAAAGTAACAATTGATGGGAATTTGGTCAAAGGTCAGGAAAAATGAGGAAATTAGAAAATTTGGAGTCAGGGTAAAGGGAAAAAAATCAGAGAATTTGAAGATGAAGAAATTATGGCAACCGTGAAACTACATCCTTAGCCACGCACTGGGAAGACTCTTAACACCATCGACACGAAAAAATACTCTTGATTCAATCTGATTTTTCCTTGGCTCGAAGAGCCGAGCCTCTTGATTTAGGCGGATTTCCTTTTGATTCAAGCGAAAAGTCCAATTGAATCAAGAGTATTTTTCTTCTCAATGTATGTAAGAGTCTCGACTCTAGATCCAAGCGACTTTTTTTCCCGTGCGTATCCTCACCGGGTTTGGCAAATGGCACGGAGGTCATTGACGAGGCGGCAACCGTGGTGATGAGTTGGAGCTGGGGTCGTGTGGTGTGTGTTATGCCGACACCGGTTCCCTATGTCTACCGTGGCAATGGCAATTCCGTACCCTTTTCCCAGTCCCAGTGCATTCAATTAGTCCGTGCAGACTTCTTTACGAGGAACTACGGATCCCTCAGAGACGCAGAGTGAGACGCAACACGTCGACGCGGGTGAGTATTGGGCGCGCACCGCACAGCCGCGCCGCCCGGGCTGTTCACGCACCGCTGCCAGCCGCAAGACCTAAAACTCACAGCCCCAGTTTTTAATTCAAATCCACGAGTTTTTTTTTCTAAAATGTAGCTCATGGTTTCAGGATCTTGGAAGTGCGAGTTGCATATTCAAACATCGGAGGCGTTTCCACTCTACAAAGACAAGACTAACAATAAGTCGACTGCAGCGCCTTGATGCAACTATTCGTGTTCCACGGATGTGCGTGTTGCATGTTCAAAATTGAAGGCACTTTCGCTTTCCTCACCTCTTCAGAGTTGCGCGGGACTCGTTAGTTGTAGCTGTGTATCAACTAAGTGCCCAAGTAGATTTTTACCTCGATTGAAACCTTCTCCGTTGACTTACCCTGGTAGCAACGACTGTTAACAAAACTCTTCAATTTCAAAAAGACACTTTCTAAAAACAACGTTAAAATATTCGTTTTTAGGAAACTCTGTTTGGGTATTTTCGTAAGTAAAATTTACAATAGGTAAAATTGAAGTGAAAAAGTCT